AGATTTCACTTTCAGGAATGGCAAAAATGGAAGAAGAAAGTCTTTATAGCACCTCACTCTCAGAAACAATCTAAATATTTGGAGTTAGCATTACTGTTTTTTATTAAAAGCCCAAAGTAAAATCTTTGGTACTGCAGTACACCTGTGAAAATGTGTGCCCAGACAGAACAGACACTGTGATCTGTGAACATTGCTGAAAAACCCACTACACACGGGTATTCCTACCCGAACAAAGTCAGTGTGAAAGCCATACCAGTCCTTGAGGCAGAGTAGCAGAAATTATGTGAAACAGGTGATGAAGCAGGGCTGACCTACACATAATCCTACCAAAACATCTTATGGAGGGGAAAACTAATTACTTGGTTCACTGCTTATTATTGAAGAGAAAAGCTACTGGTCTGCAAGATGGGCTTTCAAAAAAGTCTCGTACTTTGTAGTTCATCAACAGTATCCACTCTTGGCTCGGTCCCAAGTACACAGGTTTGGTTCTAAATGCTACTCAGTCACTCTGGGACAATAACAGTGGCATACACGGACTGAACATCCCTGCAGGAGCCCAGCAGTGGGGGGAAAATATCCCTGAGAGTACTGCTTAATTTCAAAAATAAGTCACTCATACAAACAGAGAGACTTTGTAAAAAATAAAAAGGTGACGCCAATATAGACAAATAACTGTAGACAGTATATTAAATGCCTTGAGAATACCAAATGCATTATTTAAAAAAAAAAAAAAAAAGTGTCTTAGGGAGACCAAAAAAGCTGATGTGATTAAGAAAAAAGGGATCTATTTTAAGTACAAAGAGTTTGGGAGACACCATTTGTTTGCCATGAAGCCTTTTTATCAGTTATTTTGTTTGTTCTGCTATAGTTAGAATCCAAACCTCACCCTCCCACAAAAAGCAGAACACCTCTTAGGGGAATTAGGAGACAAAGTCAGTTTAGATTAATGCGAAGAATATCTCTGGAGACAAAATAAAGCAGAGAAAATAACCACATCCTCAAAAGCAGAGCTCCCTACCCACTTCCTGCCACTGGAGACGGGTGGAGAAGCAGAGGGAAGCAGCTTGCTCCACCACAAGCGCTCTCCTCACAGCGTCTGGAGCAAATCCAACAGCTCTCCAGGAAAAAAATCCTTACAGACAGCATACTAAGAGACATTACACGGATGCAGCTGGATCATGGCAGCAGCCATGGGAGAGCTGGGGGCCCCAGCTCTGGAAGTGACTGCAGATTTTGAGAGTGAAGAGGCAGCCCCCCACTTCTGCCTGCCTCAGCTCTCAATATAGCCTAAGATTTACCAAGGACTTCTGTGCAACAAGAGCTTGGACAACACTGCAACCTCTGCGAATAGCCTTACCACAGCATCGTTCTCACATGGATTTACTACTGGCAGTAGTTTAAAATCACTGCAGGTCTGGGGCTGCAGACTGACATACAAACCTTTTTAACTAACTGAAATAACCAGGAGAAATAAATGCAGGTAGAGACGAAGACAGCACCGTCACTATTTTTTGTTTGTATTCAGATTTTTAAGCAAAGTTCTTCTAAAAGCCTCAGAAACGTGCACGTTTAGGGGGAAAAAAAAAAAAAGACATAAAAAACTGAGTAAGAGCCCTTCTACCACCTGGTGAAGAAATTGTGGTTTCCTCCATTTCCAACACCTGCTCCGGTGCCCTAGGACCTCCCAGATTCCCTTCTCCTCCACACTCTTGCCTGCTGCCCTCCACATGGCTGGACTGCAGCTGCACCCAAGGAAAACACAGCCGACAAGACACCATAGTACAGCCTGTCCCTTGCTGGGGACACATCTGGGTCCTTCCCCACCCCATGCCACAGATTTTTCTGATATCCAGCATTATTTCAGGTATGTCCAGCTTGCCTGAAACAGACCAAAGCTCAGGAGTCATGAGGTGAAAACACAAGCCTCCTCCCCTTCAGCTGTGGCACCCCTCCGAATCATACCGCCCTCGCTAATTCCCAAATGGCAGAGCCAAGGAGCTAAAGATGGAAATGAGAACTATGGGAAGGTGCGTGCTTGTTTGTTTTAAATACCTACTCCCCAAGAGTAATAGAAAAAAGAAAGAAGACTCTTTGGTTACTTCATTGGTTATTCCTCTACATTGCTGCAGCAAAGAAATTGTGTTCAGTACTTCCGTAATCCTCAGTTTCTGAAAAGAAGAAATACCATGCTCTTGACCTATTAGAGGTTTGTATTCATATTGCAATTGTTTGCATTACCCTTAAATGCACTACCTATATAATTTTATTTAAAAACAGCAAAGATATTTACTGCTTTAAACTTTAAACCAACTTTAAACTTTTTTTTTTTTTTGGAAGTGGACTTTTCTGTATTTTTTTAGATATGATTAAGATAACCACAAAATCTTCCAACAAATCTGCCACAATCAAAATAAAAACTTCATATACACACCCTGTGCAAGAATTAGAACAGCGTATTACTTATTGTTCTTTGACAATTGTCAAGTGCATTCCCAGGTAGACTTAATTTATTCAGCAGGCTTGTCAGAGACAAACCAATACAGAAATCATCAACGCCCCATTAAGTGTTTCAATTAAAATCTCAAGTAAATTCCCACTGCTAAATGATTTAGTTCAGCCAGATACTTTAAACCTAAACGTCAGGACAGGAAAGGTAAACAGATGCCAAATGGTAATTCAGCTGAGGTACATCTTGGATATTCCCTACCACACGCTAGTGTCAAAAATGAGAGTCCTCATTGCTTGTATTGACGCATTTCAAAGGTGGAAATGCATTACAGCATCCGAAGAAGGAGATTGTGCTCATTTGAAAAAATCCACCTCAACTCTTGGGGAGCAAACAAAAAAAAATACATAACAACCTGCCCTGGAGACCTAGGAATCCAACAAGCATTGACTCTAAACTCAGGCACGAACATCTGTCCCAGCCGACGTTTCCATTGTGGTCTGGTGCCTGACACGCAAGTAGTTCAGACAACTCTTCACTCTTCATACTCCCTCTTTTGTAAGTCAAGTCAGCAACTGTAAAATTTACTGGATGCACAGCACAGGGAATATAATTCTTCCATAAAATGGGTACACCACAAGCATTGTAATATCAACATCTCCACAAACTGGACCAAAGGGTCTTCACCTTTGGCAAAGGCAAACAGCAGTTCAGAGTCGATGGGCAGTGCACAAGCTGCGCGTGCTGCCTTTGCTGACGGTGGACGTCCTCTCCTCAGGAGTACGGCAGAGCAAAACCTGTGTGCTCTGTACGTCCATCCTTCTCGAAAACATACAGTAATTATTTATAGGCATAGTTTTAAAGCCATTTCCATACTACAAGACAGATACTCAGTACTTTACATCCATCTACTAATTAAACACTGGTCATCTCAGTCTTGACAGCGGAACCCTTTTGGAGGACAACATCATTTGGAAACAGTTCTCACTGATAAATAAGGGATGTGCATCACATTTTTATATATCCCTGATACTTTCAGCTGAAAGTTTCATGGTTTTCCCACTATTAAATAGCTTCACAGAAATTCAATTAACTGTTTGCAGTAGTCCATTACCCTCAGGCTTAGAAGAAGCTTCTGCCTTGGTGAGGTTTCTGGGCTCCTTTTAAACAGTAAACAGTTATGCTGCACTTAAAAAATAAAAATGTCATACAAAAAATAAAAATTTTTCAAATCTTGAAAATAGTGATTCTTCTTTGCATTTTCCATTCAGCTTTCACGTCAAATTGACCACAAAGTTCTTGTCTATAAGCTTCTTCAAGAATTTCTGCTCAGCACTGATGTTGTGATATTCATTCTAAAAAGATGTGAGGGAATAATAAAAAAAAATAAGTATCAAATTATAACCAGAAGCACCACTTCACTGTTATCTTCTTTCTATTACCAGTGATACTTGGAAGATGCTAAGAGTAGGGAAAAGTTCTGGGGAAAAGACTTCTTTAGCAAAGGCTTAGCACAGTCTCTCAAGAAAACAAGGGATTATTGCTCAAAACTACATTAGATTTTTCCATTAGGACACAACCAAAAAGGATGATCCTTTGGTAGCAAGAATGGGTGAGATGTGTCTCAGAGAAGTCCTTCCATTATTCACTCTCTCAACTCCTCACTCTGCTTAGAGAGAACAACTGAGGGACCACATTTACAGCACAAGCAGCGAGAAAATGACTAATTCTCAAAACTCAGTGCAGGTTCTTGAAAAGCACATCAGATGCATCCTGCCAATCAGCTTCAGCAAGCCCAAACCAATCCATCTTCTGTGCTATACCCAGATCCTGGACACACAGGAGACCACCGAGGTTAGTGGAGGGCAGCACAAGGAAAGTAAAAGTAAATTTACTCAGGCACTGAATCCAGTAAATTAAAATGAATAGAATACAAATACTGCATATAATACTACACATATGTAGTGTAATATTTACAACTTAATGACACTGAAGAATTAACAGAAAGATTTTTGTTTAGTAGCTTGGTTTTTTTAGTTTAAAGATTTTAGGAAACTTATGGATGTCTATACAACTAATGATAAACCTTACTCAACCTTAGTATACATTGCAAAACATCACCTGCAGAGAGAAGCCTCAAAATGAAGGTGAGTTCAGTGTTAGAGGAAAATTATCTCAGAACAGCAGGCACCTAGGAGTCCTGAGAGAGACATAAAAGGCTCTTACAGGCATTGTCCCTACCCATCCTCTTCAGGAAAAGGAAGAAGAGGAAAACGTTCCCCATATGCTCTGGGCAAATGGAAGAGAAAACTTGACACTGAGGTGAAGGGCTGAGATGGGGTTGCTTGGAGTACAGAGCCAAAGGCAACTGAAGACAAGAGCAGAGACATGGAAGAAAACAGAGGCATGACCACAGCAAAACAGCAGGGAGGAGAGAAGACATCCCTGATGTTTGCCAGGCTCCTGCTGCTTCCTCTCCTGTTGAATTGTGGCTTCCCCATCCTGGAAGCAGTTCCTTCTCTTCCTACCCTCCTCCAAGAGCTGCTTTTCTTTTCTGCTTTCCATTTTCAAAATTCAGTTATTTTCCTAACTGCAAGTTCATAGGTCTTAACTCCTTCCATTTCCCTTTGCTCTTCCTTCTGTCCTTTAAAGGGGTTTGGCAGCTATGACAAATTGTGCAAGTAGGTGCCAAGAAAAGAGAATGCAAACAGAAACAACACCACTCTTGTTCTGACAGTGTTAATGAAAACATCTCTATGACACAATCTGTGCAACCAAAGGACAACACCAGCAAAGCAAAACAGAACACACAAGTGGACATATTTCATGCAGACATTGCAGAATATGGTGTAGCACAAGGGAGACACAAATATCATTATCTACATTCTTCAAAAACAAAAGCAGAGAGGAGGAGATTCAAGCAATGTTAACCCACAAGCAGCTGAACCAGGAGAAGGCAAGAGGCTTTCTGAATTGCAGTCCACACTTCTTATCTATATTAAATTGCCTTCCCCAGTTACCAGCTATAATTCTCTCAGCACAAACAAGTTATAGTTACCCGCATCATCTGAGACATGGTTTCATTGCCATAGTAGTGCAAAGAACTGTTTCTGTCAGTGAAGTCGTATTTGAAGCCTGCCAGGTGGACTTCGTGGCATATGTGAAATGCTAGTGTAATGGCAATCAGCCCTGTTGTTGGATGCTTGGGTTTCTAAAACAAAACACAGAGAGAACACATACATAAATACCTGGTAGCTTGATGGGAACAGCAAACTTAATAACAAAGACAAGGCAAATCAGGCAAGCCTGGGTCTTCTACAGATGTTTGGTTTCATAGTTTGATCCCCTCGTGTCTCAAAAAGAGGAAGGTACTGCCTACAGATTTCCCATGACCACGGTGTCCGTCATGTCAGCCTTCCCTGGGATTCTCTGGTTTCCAGTGAGGGCCGAGCCTACAGTGTAGCCCTTCCCTCCACAGAAGCATCAGGAAGGTCTCCTCATTGCTCTGCTCCATAAACTACTGAACTCTGCTCACCTACTTTCATGAAACTGGTCAGGCTTCATTACATTGGAGACCACTTCACCCATCAAATATGACTGAATTACCAGATGTGTTCAGAACTTTCTAGATGATGGAGACCCAGATGAACAGAACATGACATGCCTCAAATCTTCATAGCACCAAACTAAAAAAGCATGAATGGTACTGCCACACAAATTTGACAGAATGTGAATTTTTTCAAAGTAGGGAAATTCCAGAAGACCATTGCTTTAGACCTTCCCCACCTACTCCCATTAGAAGAAGAGAAACCTGTAAGTAAAACTGCTTATTTCTCCCTACAGTAAGAAAAGCTCAGAAGTAAATGCTATGTAAAATATCAAAAGCAGGACATAAACAGTTTTTAACCATGCAAGATTAAGAGTACCCAATGAAAAGCTAGCACTTCTCACAAAAGCAGAGAACAACTCCGTGCAGCCATCTGCCCTATCTTGTGGTCAAGTACACGATTTTTTCAGCAGCAGCAGGAGCTAAAGTGATCTGGGGAAGTAAATGAGGCAAGGTTTTTTAGAGAGAGGTGAACTCTTTCATTAAACCAGCAGATGAACCTAAGGTGAAAAAGTGTCCCCAGAAATGGACAAAACTTTCAGGCACCAATGCTCTTCTCAGCTAAAATAACATTTTTCTCAGAGACCAAATGAACTACGTGCTATTGGTAGCTGCAATCAAACGTCAAACCGAGCACAAAATGACGTGGTTTTTTTTAAACTCTTACCCAAGGCTCACTTCGTTTGTCTCTGAAAATGAAGCAGACAAACCAGTACTGGACATCTTTGTGCAGAGAGAAGGTAGATGCACTCGATGTATTTCTTTGTATCATATGGTAACACAAAAAATCCCCAGGAAAATGCTACTATTCTCAGCTCTGTAAGTCTAATTAAAGTCACAGAATTGAACTATCACCTTTTATGTACAATTTTTTTGTTCCTTTATACAACTCTTAGAGTACTCCAGAAATAACATCATCTTAAGATGCGCACTGTTGCCCAGGGCTCCTGCCAGTTAGCAAAATAACTTTCTGCCCTAGGGGCCCAACTTCATAAACTTAGTGGTGACTCTGTTGCAACATCCATACTAAGCAGGACCCCAAAACTATGGCAGGAATGCTACACTTCAGGACTAGTGTTATTTGGAAACATCAGGAATATCACGTTTTCAACTAACGTTCACCTTTAGCTATCACAAAATTCACCTCAAAAGAATATAGTTTAAAAGGCAAGTACTTTTAACATGTATTATCGTGATATCACTCTAGCAACATCTAGATATTCTCAGCCTGTAATGAAATTATTTCAGCCAGTCACATTTAACGAGAATAGGAACAGCCTTGGAATGAATCCGCAACACTTTCTGACTTCAGTGCTGCTGAGGCAACACATCCAATTTTATTCCTGGCTCTACTAAAAAATCAGAAATGCTTGCTGGCTATGGACAAATGCACAAACTGGGAACGTGAGACTGGCTTAATGGAAGATGCAGGGACAGCTGGGAAAGCAGCAGCAGTCGTTGGTGTCTCCCGCAGGCAGAGGGGGCTGAAGCACAGGACAGGGAAGGCAGCACCAGCCCTCCCCAGGGACACACTAAGGTACGGAGGGTCCCGAAGTGAATCCTGCAAAAGGTTGTCCTGCCCACGGGAACCCAAGAGGTACAACCTGCAGCTTAACCGAGCTGCTCCAGGGCCACTGCAGATGTGGCAGGCTCCCAGCCACGGCCCACCTCTAGGATGGGAGGAAAAGTGAGGAAGAGTCTGCCTTAGACTGATCATTGCTGCCCCAAGGACAAGGGACTGCAAAACCCCTGGGATGGAGTAATGGGAAGTGGAGGTGGCAGAAGGGGGCTCCAAACACAGAGAGCTCCAAACTCTACCCCAGCTCTGCGTAGGGGCGCCTAGAGAGTAGCAGAGAAGCAAAGGGCGACCGAGGGACCTTCTACCTCTTTAGCAGCTTCAGGACACCAGTACATTTCTCTGACTCACTGACAGCACCGGTTTTAACATCTACACCAGAAGAGACAGGAGAGATTTCTGGACCCATGGAGGCCATAGAACATCTGTGGCCATTTAAGAGATAGTCAGGCATCCAATTATTATGCTGCTTTCTTCCCGCCCTCTGCTGAAAACCTGACATGCCACAGAGCCTCAGCAAGCACACAGACAAAATGGCTATTCCAGTTCCAGAGCTAATAAGGGAGAAAAAAGCCACTACTGCGCTCAAAAAAAACAGACAGAAATTTTGAAAAGAGAAAAAAAAAGGCACAGAAACTCCCAGAAACAAACAAACAAACAAAAAAAATCTCAACTCCCTCAAAGATTAGAAAGATTAAACCAGAAAACAGTTGTGGCAGATACTGCACAGTGACAGCCTATCAAACGTTTCCACACGTGTCAGTTGGCTGGTGCCCATGAAGCAGCGATGTGATCTTGGGGAATTGTATCTGTGCTAAACAGCATGTGGTCAATCCTGACTGCACAAGGGAGGTCTCCAGCTTGAAGCCTTACCTTTCATCAGAAACATTCTTCAGTCATAAACTGACACTTAAAATGTATTTTTATGTCCAAATTGCTGGTTAGCTCATTACAATGCTTGGCATCAAATAAGTAAGCACAACAATGCTGCTAGACATATGTCATTAGCACAGGGCTGGAATATCCTGTATGTTCCCTAGTCCCTCCAGTCCCTCCTCACAAGTGTGAAATTGCAGCAGTGTTAGAATTACCAGTTTGTTGGGGTTTGGGGGGTCTTGTTTGTTTGGTGTGGGGTTATTTTTGGTGTTTTGTTTTCATGAGAGGTTTAGTTGGGATTTTTTCCTGTTTGTTGTTTTGTGGGGTTTGGTGGGGTTTGTTTTGTTTTCAAGAAACATTATAAAACACTCAACATTCAATAATTCAAGACTTCCTACTATTTCTAGAAGCTCTTTGGATCTGCCATGTTCCATTACCTTCCCATTTTTCCCAATTTTGTAAAAGACATTATGTCTATCTGGAAAGCAGTCTCACGTCATACCAATTACAGAATCCATAAAAAAATGTTTTTGGCATACAAGGCTAGTCACTCTCTTTCTGGATTCCATTCTCCCATCTTTTCTGAGCACCATCTAAATGCAAACTACTTTAATGCAAACCTAAGAGATTTTCTAATACAGTCCACTCTAACAAAGATATAATTGCCTCTAAGTACACATTTGGTGGCACAAAACTAAAAGGCAATGAAGAAAAGAGCCTACCTCCTTCTTAGGAAACCTTGTTGGGAAACGAAGCCACTCATAAGCTGTTTTCCTGGTGATGCTGGGATCAAGAATCCTGATTTGACTAGATTTGTATATCATATTCTTAGCCGGTTTCTTCCAAAAGCCTTTATCGCTCTGTAACAGGTAAGTAAATACACATTTTTAATGGCTATAAACAGCTGAATTTAGTTTTGTAGCTAATGAGAGTAAACTCCAAGTGCATGAGGTTAAGGAAGAAGAGAAGTGCTGAACCTCTAGAAGTTCAAAAACACCTGCTCCTGCAACAGGATAACCCACTGCAGCAGCAGCATTTGGGTCCAGTTGGCTGGAAAACAACTTTGCAGAAAGATCCCTAATGAACAACTCATACCAAGAGCATGCCCTGGAAGCAGTAAACGTTCACTGTCTGCTTGCACACATTAGGTACAGCATAGACAACAGGCAGACAGAAGTTATCATTCTCAAGTACTTTGTACTGTCTGGAGCATGTATGGTAAAATATAAGACAGTGCTAGGAAGAGAATAAAAATATATTTCCCAGAGGAAAACTGCTTTGTGGTGAGGAACTGATCAAATATGTGCATCAGAAAGAAGACAGAAGCATTTATGGGAAAGATGTTAAACAGACTGACTAGGAGATCAAGTGCTCCCCTGAGCTAGGAGGACTAAGGTTAAAAGCAAACGTATTTTCCATGAGAGACGTGTGGCAAGATGAGCCAAGGTGCATGAACAATTGAACTCACTATTTTTTGACCACTTAGGATCTTCCAAAGCCACTTCAAGTCACGTGGTTTGAAGACAATGACAACCACAGTTGTATTAGGGTCGTAGTGGATAGGATCTGAGAACATAGATTCTGGGTAAGAAAGGCGGAAAGTCGTCCTCCTCCCAACATCCTCTTCGTACCCTATAACAGGGCCATTATTCATTCTGCAGAAGGCACAGGACAGAGACACACAGACATCAATGACTACCCCACCACATCCTTACCATGCGGTGTCTGGCACCCACATTAGTCCGTGGCACAGAGAGCATGTCTAGGGACAGGAAAGTTTACCAGCCCAGCATTTACTTATCACATTACAGAGTAGATGAGCAATTATCAGGTGCACTCACCCCCTAAACTCAGAGGGATCAAGCACATATGGGATCTTGGCCAAGATGGTTTAGAATACAATCACACAATTGCTTATCATGTGTCACTCAAGCAGAAGGCCTTCCGATTTGGCTCAAACACAGAAACTAGAGAAGGGCAAAGAAAATATCTGGCTTGGAGAAGTACACATTGCTCCATGTACACAATTTGAAAAGGAGATACCATTTACCTTATTATGACGTCATATGAATCAATTTTCTCCCCTAATGTTTTATTTCGAAGTACTCCTCCATTACCGACAACAACACACCGACGACAGGCAATGCTGTGGAACAAACAGAAGTTTTAATAGCCATTACTTCCCTGGCTTCATATTATTAATTATACATCTGCATTTAACTGGCTTATTTTCTAACTGAGGTCCTGTATCTTTTACAGTCCTGGCCCCTACAAAGGAGACTCAATCCTGTATCATCTACTATGGCTGCTTTCAAAAAACAGAAAAAGCAGCTGCACTATTTCAGGGACTCACAAAGTCAGGAATTGGTTTCTCTGATGTGAAACTGCTTTTACACACATCATTTTTCTTGTGGTTTGCTGTTTAAGATCATCTAACCAGCTGGTGATATGGGGGCCATTACATAAATTATCTTCCACAGTGCTTCAAACTTTTCACAGTCTGAGTGTATCAACCAGGACAGAGTATGCCTGGAAAAACTAACTCAAATTAAGGTGCTCCACAACACTGTATAACTCCACAACTCAGGAGATCTCCAACACGAGCTAAAGCACCAAGATTTACGTTCACAATTTACCTTACAGACTGTACATGTGAAAAACCTTCGCCCAATGACATGTGATGGCTTTTCAAATGCATATGATCTTGTTTTTTCTCCCTTTACTTAAAAAGTGCTGTCTAAACACGTTTCAACATGTGCTGAATTTCATGCTGTCATGACGTAACAAGGCAGATTCACTTGATTAAAAGTTGCATTCTCATACGAACAGATTCAAATCAGACAGCACTACTAAGTATATAAAACGCTGCAAGTTAAAAATAAGATCCTAAAAATGACCTCAAATCAAAACTGTAATTCCTTCTGAATTTACATTATATTCAGAGCTAAAGAGCACACAAGAAAGGCATTTTATAGATGTTAAACTTATGAAAGTAAATTCTAATGGTAAGACTTTCAAAGTTATCCCAGGTTTTCTACGTGCATATTTTGCTTTCTAATGCCTTATTACAATGCTAGTGAAATGTCTGCTTTGTTTAAAAAAAAATAAGGGGAAGCTCACAGACAGGCTTGCTGTTTTTTTACTCAAGATATTTTGCCTTTTTAGAGAAGGTTTACATCAATGTATAAGACTGCAAACTCCTCCTTACAGAATAAGCAACGCGTTTTTTGTTGTTGCAAAAACGCTTCTTTATTTAGAGCAAAAGCCGTTCAATTTGGTTGCAGCAGGAACAATGGGAAAATGAAAACAAGCTCACAGTTTGTTTGTTTACTGAGGATGAGTCACCTCACAATGTCCCACTCTCTTGATTCTTTCTTCAGGTAAGAAAAAGGCTCTATGTCATTTCTTGCTCTAGGTTCGGGACACCAAGACTGTATCCCAAAGAATACTATAACTGGTATTAAATGCCCAGTGCGGCACTTTATGCACACTAATTAACATTTTTCTCCTCGGATAGTCCAACCTGTTTTTTCAGCTGAGAATATTATTCAACATCAATGAAAACAGCCTGCTCCACCCAAGACTGACCAACATCTCAATGTACAAAGCAATTCTCTGTACCTCCTACAGAATTAACAACATCCGCAGAGGGAGTTGCCTTTAAATATACATAAATATAAACAGTGCTCTAAATGCAGCTTTCAGGGTTGGGTGACGTTGAAAAAGCTGGCACACCTTTCTTTAGTGTTTCCTGAACTGCTTAGTAGAAGGTAAGCATTCATAAAAAGATTTCCAGCTAATACCATAAATCACGTGACTTGGTACCTCTGAAATAAGAGGGGTAAAAACCTGTTACACCATCCTGTCCCTCAGTATGCCCAATCCCTCTACACCCATAAAACCCCTCCACCTCTCTATTCCTTCAGCCCATTCATTTTCCATTTAGTTTTTATATCTAGTTTTAAGATATCCTGAGAAAGTCGGCTGACAAACACATGCCTCTTACAAAGTTGACAGTAGGAAAAAGCAGAAGTTGCCCTTTTCCTGAATTACACTTTGTTACTTACAGCTACAGCGTAGAGCCCAAAGTAAGGAAGGAAAAAGGAAAACTGGACAAAAAAACTTGATCAGTAAGTGATGAAGGTGGAATGAGGGAGCGGGGCAAAAAGCATAGAATTAGCATACGGTTGTACCTTGTTTTCCTGGCATTTACAGCGTACATCTGTAAATCACTGAAAGTTTCAATCACCTCAAATCTCTGAATTCACCATCACCAAAAGTCACGCAGCTGCACCTGGTTAGCTGAGGCACAAACCTCATCTCCACAATGCAAATCCTAAACTGCAACTCATATTCCATCTCCCCCTGCTCCCTCCTGGCTACAGCATCCATCCCTGATGCTTGGTGGATACCCTGGAGTGACAGTGACTGACACACCATGCATGAACTCATGTCAGGTCCCAATAAAAAGCCAGAAAAACTGCTTTTAATCTTGCCGAATACTTTCTTTTATGCCCTCTGACTGCTTGGCGCAAATTCACAAAAACGGTGTCAACTCCATTACAAGTGATTTGTATTATTCTGACCATGACAAGCAGCCACAAAGTTACTTTGAGGAGGCACTGCTTTTTCTGTTCCTTGGAGATGAATTAAAGAGATTCTTTATCACACCCTTCCAATTTTTGGCAGAGGCTGTGCTTTAAGAAGATTCTTCACTGAGTTAATCCTCAGCTATTGAAACAATGCCTTTCAGTCTGGCATACAACTGAAGAGCTCTTTGGTTTCTCCTCTCTGTACTGTACAGTCATGATGCACAGGACACACTCAGGGCAGAGAGGGTAAAATAAAACATGACTTGAGCTGAACAACTGAGGTTTAGTTAGCTACAGAAGCTATGCTGCTGCTCTCAGGTCAAATCCAAACTCTCTTTCCTCTTATTGACAAATGCAGGCCAGGTTTTGATTAAGAGCTAACTACTTGGACAGAAAATGATGTGAAATTTGAAGTTTGATTAATCTTTTGAACTCCAGTTCACTTTGTAACATGCATACTCAAAAATAAAGTTATCAGCTGCCTTCAAATACACAATAAAACAACTAACACTGGTATTCGAACTTTTGAAATGGATAAAATCAACATGCAGATCAAACATTCCTAGAGAATTGTACATGAATACAGTCAAATACAAACAAGTGAACTGGAATCTCTACCAAGCTCAGGGAGTCAAAGCAGCCCAACAGAAAAGTTAAACAGGAAATCTGGCACAAATGTGCCATTTTGGAATTGCCTGCTTCCCTTACCCTCCCTCTTCCCCCCCCCCCCAGTATTCAAGCGTCTTCAGTTACAATAGTAAGTCCGCAGTAACACAGAGTCCACTGACAACAATAAGCAGGGAGGAAAACGATTTATGTAAAAAATAGAACATAATATCACAGAAACTAACATATGACATGGAGATAAAGAATATACAGCAAGGTTTGATTGTATTCAAAGATACTTAAGTTAAACAAACTGACCTATACTTACTGCACATCACAGAAGTCAAGACATTAACTTTCAGTAGACTCTTACTCCCAGATATTTTGCCAACCCCACTTTTTACAAGTTTCCTTTTTTATAATGTTTTCAAATTAAAAAACCCCAAACACTCACCCTTTCTCCAAGTCAATAAATGGACAAGAAGAGAAATAAATTCAGATGCCCTTAAACAACATCAGGTTGCTACGAGTGAAATATAACAGACTGAAGTGTCTGGAGGTTCAGCTTACAACCACCAGCACAACATTCAAGACAACATTCATGAAAAATAGTAAGACTTTGGCTGTAAAAATAGCTATAGCAAAAGTTTGAGTAACTAAGAGATTGCCTTTAGGTGTTAGAGATCTACTTAAGAGTATAAATGGATCCTGATGCAAACAGCATGGCAACTGATCTCCAATGTCTACATGCACCAGTCACTCAAACCACTACCCTATTCATGTGGTGTACAAGAGCCTCAACCTCAAGACCAGGTGTTAGTTTACATATTTTGTTTATATGGTAAAGTGCTAAAAGGAACGTGTTTCTAGTCTATAAAAGAAAAATATTGCTAAATGAAAATGTAGCCTTTAAAAGACAAAAGGCTTGCATCATCCACATTCCACTGAGATGCTGTTTCTGTGGAAAAAGAAAAAGATCTCAACCTCAGTTCCTTTAACATACACCCCTTTATAGTCAGTTGAGGAATGCATATTATTTCCTTTGAGGTTATTTGGTGAAAGGAGGATGCAGAAGTCACATTTGTTGACTCAGGATTGTGTACATGCATTTGTAATAAATGTTGAGCTTAGAGTCCTGAGAGTACCCAGAGAGGAACTGAAGTCACAATTGAACTGGAGTCAGTGACACTGTTCATTTCCAAACAGTTTTGGAGAACTACACCTTTACACAGTGAGAACTCGACCTAAGTTTGGAAAATAGCACTATTTGGAAAAAAAATCCTTTGTAGCTCATTATATACAGTTTTACATAAGTCGTACACAAATAAAGCCGCAGATTTGGTGCTCATACAGCCTAGCATTTGTTAAAACAGTTTATAGCAGACTCCAAAAATTTTTAAAGGGAAATTTGGTTTGTGTTCTGACAAGAAGGTTGAATTAGGCAACAGCATTAAAGAGTTGCCTAATAATTCTGTATTACTGGAGAATGTTGTCAGGATTAATTCCCAAAACGTTTCACTTTTAAAAGCAATTGCATCTCAGTGAAATGTATACATAAAAGTTCTTCTCTACTACAGTGACCCATGCCCTAAGAGTGCTATACACAAAACCTGATGGATCTAGAAAGAATACAAAGTATGAACTCACTGTGCACTTGATTTGCTTATCCTACTGCCTATTAAATAGTAATAGCTCTCATTCTGCTTCAGTACCACTGAACTACATTATTTTTAATAAAATGAAGCATATTTCCCAGAACCATCAAAGGATAAATACCAATTACCTTGCTTCTCATCTACAGGACAAATGCATTTAAAAAGTACTATGCTGTACTGGAAGCATCTCTGCTTTACAGCCTGAACAATTACAGAGCTGAACTTATGACTTCAGAAAATTGCTAATACAACATCTGGCACTCTCCTTCAAACTTCAGACAAAAGACGAGCTTTTTCAGCCAGTTCTGTATAAATTTCCCCAATTATCACCCTCCTGATAGTAAATGGGGGGGTTTACCTTTTTTTTTCCCTTTTCTTAAGAATAAACCTGAACATCCTAGAACCAGATACTAAACACGGTGAAAGGACGGAGTACAGTAGGCAAAGAAAAAATGGTTATTAAAACCAGTTCTTAGGTGTGAACATATTCCACCCAAGCTAGATTAAAATGTGATCCTGATGTTTGGCTTGAAGCAGTAATCTTCTATGATCTGAATTAAAAAAAACAAAACCAAGTACAGCCAACTTCAGCCTTATTGCATTCAGCTCTATTAAGAAGTCTGTGTATTAACATATTTGGCAGGTTGTCAGCCAGTTTGCTAGATTGCAAATCTAATGAGTCATTTGCATCACTTTGTAAACACAGGATTTTAGTCTACTTGCCAACATTACCATACTACCTCCAAAAAAACCCCAACCAAAACCAAATCAAAAAAAACCCCAACAAGACACACACACGCAGAAAGATCCTCCAAAACCAAACAAAAAATCCTGGCAGAAGTGGCTTCTAACAAGATGTTTAATCAAGGTAATCTAATCCATGGGAAGCAAGTTATCTAAGGCACGGTCTGCTCCATGCCACACACTCGTTACTCCAAAAACGCAGGAACAGCCTTTCCTGTCTGCCTACGTCTGTCTCATTCACAAGGGAAGGAAGCTGAGCACACGTACAAAGAAGGGTGTGCAGCAGCCAGAGGATGCAGAGGCACAGGGATATGCCTAAGATTCCTTTTACACAGAAGCAGCCATTGGTTTGCATCTGCTTATCTCAAACAGTGTCCATCTTATGCAAATAACAACTTTGAAAGTGGTCGTCACACTCAGTTTTCAAGAATAAAAAGATACTAAGGAAGATAGGACCACATTCAGCCAGAAAATTCCTAACACACTTACGAAAAGAAATCTCTAAGTTTAAACTCCTTCACGGAAAAATTATTCTTGAATGCTGGTGCTATGTGTGTAAATCCAAGATTATTTAAATCTTGGAATAGGTTACACAGTCGGTCTGATCTGTATCTTGGTTAACTTGGGCAATTTCAGGATAACGCCACTGACATTCCTTTTCAGGTAAGTACTAAATATAAAAAATGCAATTAACAGAAACAGTATCAAATAAATGAACTCACTTGTCATCTTCATCGTAAAGTCCACAGCTCTCCAGTCTTGAAAGGGCTAAACGAAAAAATTGCTCTAGAAGGCAAATATAAAGAAGATTAATGAAAACATTCAGTGTTTGCCGATACAAAAATAAGCATGTCACCCTGACTACAGTATTTTCATACACATTAGTTTTACATTCACTGTGGATAAAAAAACTGAACATAAGAATACTTGGAATTTAGGGCCACAGATCAGTCAATGATGCCTAAGAAATTCAGGTTTATCAGAGCTCCTCTCTTAGTTCATCCTGCCCCAGTACTTCCCTGTTGGAAAAGATCATGGGATTTGTATAAAAAAATAAATCCTAGTTACAGTAAGTAAGAATTGGAAGAATTTCCAAGACCTACATCCTTACTGACTTTGTTTTTTCTTCCACCCACCTTCACATGAAACAGAAGCAGCCTTGACCCAAGAGGGGTCATACACGCAGGGACAGTAAAAGCATTACCTATCGTGGAAGACGACATCAAACCAGCCTGTGCTTGCTGGCAAAGCTGGGCAGAGGCATCTTCCCAGCCCTCCCTCAGTGGGCAGGGTCCTGATGGACATTCAATCTGCCTCTGAGAGGAAGCCTCAACTCTTTCCCAAATGTGCTTTTCTGTGCTGTAAACCCAGAGGTGCAGGAAAATTTGCACCATCCCTGTTATGCTGATGGAGGCCAAATCAAGAATCTAAAGCCAGGACCTGCAGGGTACTTGGAAGGTGCACTATTCAGTGTCAAAAACTTGAGACTTCTTGTGCACCTGTTGGCTGGCAGAGCATGGGAAACTGAAAAGTCCTTGACTTAGGGTAAGCACTACTTAGCAACAAGTAAAACATCCATGTGCTAGCAACACTATTCTCATGCTGAATCCAAAACACAGCACTGTACCACATACTAAGAAGACAATTAACTCTATTCCAGCCAAAACCAGGACAGTAAAAAGAAAATTTCACTGATGTAACTACCCCAATCTCAGGACTTCTGCCTCAGTAGGACACTGCATCTCAATCATCTTAGGGGTGTTGAATAAAGCCCATCACACTGACCCAGTTAATATCTGACCTAGCAAATCACTAGCTAAATATCTTTAGCACTCCAGCCCACATACAAACAAAAGGAAGCTGAATAAGGTCCACTCTTCCTCACTTCCACCTTTTTGGAGCTCCTCTAGTGAGAGGGACAATCTCAACACCGTGAGTTTTTGTTAGAAACAGAAAGGTGTCAGGTCAGAGGGACTAAACAAAACCATTATGTCACTGCTAGACACCCCCAAAAGAACTGGCATCAGTGAAGAGGAAAGACAAGGGCCAGATTCGGGGGGCTAACAAGACTTTTAGGAATTTCTGTTTGAAAACAAGGTACATGGGAAATACTAACCTGCTCTCTTTATTCCATAAGGTAGTTCAAACTTATCACTCCCTTGGAACTCTGCCACCCTGATAAAATCATTAGTACACAGGAATGGGTATATTTTGTCAACACTGAAAAAGAAAGAAGTTTCAAAAATCCACATGATGCATCTGCATAAGCAAATAATTCATGCAATTGCTTTGTAAAAAGTTTTCTTTATCCTACTATTGTAATTTTTATCCTATTACCAGCATCCATTTTTAAAACAAGGAAATCCATGAACAGAGGGAAAGCAAGTAGATGACAGAAAAGGTGAAGATTTTAGAAAATGTGGGTAAAGAGTGAGATAAGAAGATTTGTCTGCTAGTGTAAGTTACGTACAGTCATTAAAATCGTCATCAAAATTGTGTGACTGAAAGCACACCATTAGACCATATATTCAAGAGAATACATAACCCAGGAAGACAATGAGTAACTTCAGTTTGAAAAGTAAATAACAGAGGCAGCAAGGAAAATTAAGAGTTAGTATGGTATATGGCAATTTAATAAGTAAGAATGGGATTTGAAACAAGGTGTTTTAACTCGAAAATACCATCTCCTGATTTGAGATGCACTCCCATTCCAAACAACGGCTGTGTTGACATTAATAAGTAGTTTGAGGGTATATCCATATAGCAAAAAAGTATGGAGTTCTCATGTCCAGATTACATGCATATTGAGTATTTTTTATTCTGGACTAATTCTGATATGGTCCCATGGATTGAACACTCCTTAGCAGCTGCAGCACATCAGGCACGGTCCTGCAGTGCATCTTCTGGTTTAACCACATATGTGAAAGGAGCCCAGTGCACACATGCCAGGGCCACCCTGGGATGAGAAGCATGACACGAGGGGATCACAAGGAGGTTTGCCTCAAAAGCACGTTCCTCCCACAAACCAGAACACGACAGCATGATGCCTTATAAGCGTCAAGCTAAAAATAATGGGTCACTTCTTTCTTCAAAAGACAGGAACCACAGACAAGGAATATCTCATAGCAGGGAAGTGACTCTTATTACCTTATCTGCCCAGTCTAGGCAAATGAATGAACAGTAGACACAAATGTCACATGCTACACCATGCCCTTGGCTTCACCTTTGAATTAACTAAGCACACACTTACTGTACTGGTTGACTTTGTAGTGATCCTGCACACTAGGTCTTACATTAAAATGTTAACACAGAAATACATAGTCATGAGAAAACCTAGTGCTAATCATAAAAAACCCTAGCCAGCACAGATTTGTTTTTCCATGAAGAATATTAACAGCTGTTAAGAAAACCTTCACTCTCAGTTTCACAAATCAAGTATTTTCTTCTTCTTCTTTACGCTCTACATATTCAGAAGATACTAACAATAAGAAGGAAAAAAAAACCAAACTACAAAACACCACAGCCCACACACCAAGAACTGGGCCAGAGGTTAACTAAGCAAGACCAACTAACTTCGAGACATGATGCACTAAACACTCATACTAAATTTAGTAACTTGCCTTGCTGTTCAGAAGCAGCTGGTAAGCTTAGACATAATAAATAATTTACCTACTGCAAAGAGATTCTTAATACTAGCTCTTCTAGCTCTGGTTCCTTTCCAACAAATAATTCTGCAAGGTTAGAAATCCTTCCAACCTCCCCAGGCTATTACCAAAGTGCACAGAACAGATCTTCAGCTCATGCAAATTGTCTCAGTAAAGGAGCTACAGAAATGTACGAAAGACTTTGCCCTAGTTCTGCATGTAGCTTCTTGCTGTGCACCTCTGAGTTCATCCCTGCACCCTTGCTGAGCACCAGAGTTATCCTGCTGTGCCCAACACACAGACAGCCTGGGCACACTCCATGGGCAAGGGGAACTAAGATCACCTCACTGGACCAGGAGCTAACGAAAACTCACAGACTATAAGTCTGCTTTGGGTAGGACAAATTTTACACCCTTCCATGTTCTTTAAAAAGAAAGTACAGTACTAATTACTGACACATTTTCTTGTACACAAAAAGTACCAGAGGAAAAAGAAAAGCCATGGTGTCTTTGTGCAGAGCTTTAAGACTTCTTCAGCCAGGCCTTGGTCTAAACATCTTACCAAGCTTTCTCAGGGCATTACTCAGTGTTTGCTCCAAAACACATAAACAGCCCAATCAGCACAGCCTTTCCTTCCCCCCCAGTTCCCACACAAGACTCACCCCAGTAAAGATTCAAATGCTGGTTTCAGGAGACAAGTGTCCAGTGCACTCCTTCTCTCCACAGCTGTAGGTGGCAGCCTGCAAAAGAAGAATTTCAAAGAAATAGTAAGAACAGAAATGGGTTGCAGAAACAAGGCAGGGAAACTCAGACAAACTAAAGTAGTAAAAGCTGATTACTAAGCTAATAGCACACCAAATTTTCATGACTCCCTCTGCCTGTATTGTAAAGACGGAACTTTCTCCTTGCAGCACAACTACTTTTATTAGTAAAGCTCACAGTGCTGTTCCAAAGGGTCTGTAACCTCCCTTGCTCAGCAAGTATCAAAGCAGGCATAACCAGAGCAGAGAACTCAGGCCCAACCTCCAGAGAAGCAAGACACACGGGCTGAATCACCCCTGCAACCATACAAGATGGCATCCCCAGGGCTCCTCAGAGAAGAGATGGAGTCTTGTTTGGAGAGGGAAACAGACAGCACTACGTAGGGTACTTTAAGGAAAATGAGATTCTTTGGGGATAAGTCATTCCTCTCATAATAAGGCTAAGACTTACACTCCTAAGCACGTTCCCGCCTTGGTGATTTAGCCCAATTAATCACAAATATGAAGCCCAGAAGGGAAGGTAAAGTTCAATGTGAGCAATGTGTGCATCTGGGCTGCATTAAGAACAGAAGGATGAAACCACCACATTAGAACCATAAGTCAAACAGACCATTAAGGTTAGTTGCTTTTGGTAACCTCAAGTTGCCATGTGAATACTGACACTGAGAAAGCACCCTGTGAAATCTATCAGCTCTCGCCACCTTGTTGCTTCCCAGCATCAGCCTCACAGATGGCATTTTGCAGCATGGCTTCAGAAAGAACAGATGACTGCTTTTAAGCTTTAACATAGGTGCTCATTAGTCCCACAAACCTAACTGCAGGAATTCGCTAGCACAAGATCTGCTTATACAGGCATGTCACAAGTAAAACACACCTCTGATTTAATAAATTTTAAGCATAAAAGTTGTCCTCTTAGCTCTGTTGATTTTACTCAGGTATAATTCAGAACTGCAAAAATTTGGAAAGTGTAAACTGATGCCCTTCCAACAATTCACTGTTTGTTACAGACAGTCATTGGAAGTGGTCGTTAATATTAAACAAACACTGGAAACACAACGTAAGACAAATTTCTTTCTGACAGACATGTTACCATTGTGTTCATAACAGAAACAGCCACCGGACACAGCTGTACAATAACCAACTAAACAGGGAGCCTATGGACAAAGGCTACAGATTTTAGCCTCAATCCCTCCCACCTGCCCAAAAACCAACCAAAAATAAAACCCACAAAAATACTCAACTGCTGAACTTACTGGGTAACTCCACTAGTCTCATAGGAAGGAGAAGCCCCCACAGAGGAAGTCTGTCCATAAAAGCTAATCCTGTAAAAAGGGAAATTTCATAACAGTGTGGTTTGCTGTGAACAGAAACCACAATAGAAAGCTATTTGTATCAACTGTATGCTATAAACAAGATAAAAGCTATCACTATTATCTTCATAACACTCTGGTCAGTTCTGGTCACAGCTGTGCAAATGGCAGTGGGAACTCAACTTCATCAAATAAGTGCCCTGAATTTTAGGTCCCAAGCCACTTGTTCCGTGAGCCTGGAGACAGTGAAGGCTCACTGCCCACAAGGGTTGCCACTGGGCCTCAACAAATTTCAGCTCTGCAAAAGGTGCCCACCGCACCTGCAGTTATTCCCATGAGCGGAGAAGGCCTCTCCCACGTCACTTATCAGACACTTAAAGAACAAACTAACACTAAACACGCATGGGGTACAGGGAGGAGATATGGACACGTGATAAGGTATCTCCTCACCTGAACACCCATTTTCATGAACCTCAGGGTTCATAGGGCTCCCTATCTGTGAAGTCCTGACCTCTCCATACAATCGGGCTCAAATTGATTACTAGGTTTAAAAGTGACACAAGGGACGACAGGACAGAATAATCATATTGATTCCCTTACAGTACAAAAAAAACCCAGGCACAGAACAAACACACAGAGACAGAGTAGTAAGGACTTCTGTCATCACTAGTAAACAGTTAAAGAGCAACACAGCAACTCACAGCCACATCTCTCATACAGTCATGAGGTGTCTGAACAAAACATCACCATACCAGTAGAGGTTATTTTTCCACAGATTTCCATGCAGTATACCATACATAACAGCAGCAGCCAGGATAAAAAACAGAAGAATTCGTTTCATGACTGGTAGACCTGAAACACAAGAAAAACAAAACAAGAAATTTAAACCCAAGATAAGCTATTATACGAACTTTTCTAAAGCATCTGGAAACCTACAAAAGGAAGGTATTATTATTACAGCCATTCTCCACTACCACAGATCTGACTGGAGATCACTCCACTTTGACTTTTCACATACCAGAGACGGGAGCTGAACGCTGCTTTGCACCTACCACATGTGCCCACACTGCACAGAAGCTCTGAGAGGGGTTCACTTCAGGTTCTCTCTGAAGACACGGGAGGAAGATGGGCTCTTCCAGAAGCATGTCAAGAGTAGAAACTCTTTTCTGTTCACTAGCAGCCCAACCAAACTAGATTCTTGGGTCAGCAGCTGGCCTTTATAGGCACCTACGCTTCTCCCCCTTCTTGTGCCACACGATATCAGTTTCCATAATTACACAGTTAAACAAACACTGGCACTCTCCAGGAGGCAGATAGGCTGATGAAACAGAACAGGGTACAAGCTGCCACAAATTTCTACTGGCTTTTTTAGGATCACTGAATGTTCTTGAAGTCCAGTTTTGACATTTAAAATCGCACTGAAGCTACTTGCTTATGCCTGCACAGCCTCCAGCTCCTGACATAGGCCAAACTTCATTGCTCAAGTGACAGAAAAATGTTATTTTCAAACATTGCTAAGTGAGGAAGAAAAGTTAGGATCCCATCAGTTAAACTTACTAAGTTATGGAAAAATATCAGCAAAAGTGTTCATTTCTCAAACAGAGCTTGCACCTCATTGTACAGTCTAGTAAAAAAAAACAACAGAGAAATATCAGAAACGCATGCATCTGGCAAGACATACGGAGGGAAAAATCAAGTTCTGTATTGCTCACATCCTAGACAGTGAGCTGCCTTTTCAGTAGCTATGAATGAACTGTTGTTGGTTAATCTCATGAAAGTCCAAAATAGCCATTCTGGCCACAAGTTACTGGGGAAATTTACTTGACAGCTATGGCCTTGCACTGTTTTCACTCCTTCCCCATCACAGTAAGCAGGTTCAAACCACACAATGCATATACACCTGCCTATCTGTATTTTAAAGGGAACATAACAAACAGCTGTCCAGTAAAATAAGTCATATCCAAACATACTGCTGCATTTTCCAAGAGCAAAACATCTGCCCTTATGGCTCATTCTTTTGACTTTTTTTTTTAATTTTTTTTCTTTTTAACTCTTTACTTTTTAACTTCTTTTTGCTTTTTAGAGTATTTAGAGTTGCTGCTATTTTAAACAGCCCCAAGGCAATAAAACTAAAGGTAGATATAGTTCAAGTGATTTATAGCAATATGCTGTATGCTAGTAATATCTTGATATCCCACCTTAAAAGCCAAAAACTGCTGGAGAGCTTTTTTGTTATTAGAAACTGAAAAGCAAATTACTGCCACTTATGTATCTTTATCCCTGAGGAAATACCTGACAGTCAACTATTTCTTACATTTACTTGAGTGTAAGAACCCACCACTTCTTTATTCTTTTATCACCCATATTCTTCACCAGGCTTTAACAGTAGAGTCAGAGATACCAGTAACAAAGCCATGCAACGAACAAGGCAGAATCTAGCAAGCTTAAGTATGTTCTCCAGGTTATCCTACTCTGTTCTGGACAAAATACTCACAGGCTGCAGCTGTTGCAGCTTCAACCTTTCAGGCCTCCTTGGGAATTAGCATTGCTTCCCTTCAGCTCCGACTCCCTTGATGCTTCTTGAAGGGTCACTGCAAATTTGTAATGACAGTCACTTTCAACTTTTAGAGCAATCTCTGAGTTTTAGCAATAATTCTGTAGGAATCATTCCCTAAAAGTGCAATAACATTACAAGAAAACTCACCTACTGGGTTCAGTCAAGTGTCATTAACAGCAATTGGCTCATAATCCTGAGTGCCATCACACAGCACGAACAGGACAACTGAGGGATCAGGCCCAGCCTGCATAGGTTTAGGAAAGGCAGCTCCTGCTTGACCAACCTGATCTCCTTGTATAACAGGGTGTCCTGCATGAAGGAAAGGCTACGCATGCTGTCTACCTAGACCTTTGTAGAGCTCAGACATCATTTCCTACAGCACTCTCTTAAGAGAAACTGGCTGTTCATGGCTTGGACGGGTGTGCTCTCCACTGGATTAAAAGCTGGCTGGCTGGCGAAGCCCAAGTAGAGGTGGTGAATGGAGTTACATCCAACTGGCAGCCAGTCACTAGTGGGGTTCCCCAGGGCTCAGTGTTAGGACCAGTCCTGTTTAATATCTTTAAAGGTAAGATATGGTCTGGACAAGGAGACAGGGTGCACTCTATCAGTCTGCAGACAACATAGAGTTGGGTGGGAGTGTTGATGTGCTGGAGAATAGGAGGGCTCTGCAGAGGCATCTGGACAGATCAGAAGGATGGGCCAAGGCCAATGCTATAAGGTTCAATAGTGTCAGGTCCTGTCCTTGGGTCACAACAACTCCCAGGCAGTGCTACAAGCTTGGGGCAGTTGCTGGAAAACTGCCTGGTGGAAAAGGCCCTGGGGGTGCTGTTTGACAGCAGCTGAACACGAGTCATCAGTGTGCTCAGGGGGCCAAGATGACCAATAGCATCCTGTCTTGAATCACAAACAGTGTGGTCACCAGGACCAGGGAAGTGATTGTCCCTCCGTACTCAGCACTGGTGAGGCCACACCTCGAATTCTGTGTTCAGTTTTGGGCTGAGAATAAAGACATTGAGGTGCCAGAGCACATCCAGAGAAAGGCAAAGCTGCTGAAGGGTTTGGAGAAGAGGCTCAGCGGGGACCTTATTGCTCTCCACAACTACTTCAAGGGGGGTGTGTGGTGAGGTGGGAGTATGTCTCTTCTCCCAGGCAACAAGTCAAAGGACAATAGGAAATGGCCCCGAGTTGTGCCAGGGGAGGTTTAGATTGGATATTAGGAAAAATATTTTCACTAAAAGAGTTGTCAATCATTGGAACAGGCTGCCCAGGGAAGTGGCTGAGTCACCATCTCTGGAGGTATTTAAAAGTCATGTAGATGTGGCCCTTAGAAACATGTTTGACAGGTAGATGTGGCAGTGCTGGGCTAATGTTTGGACTCCCTCATCTTAAAGATCTTTTCCAACCTATGTGACTCTATTATTTACTGCACTTTAGTTTTTTTCCTTTCACCGTTAGTATCTTTATCACCTCCTGCTTTGCAAAGGTTTGCCAAAACATCCCACTAAAGTGAAAATCGACTCTTTACTTTTTACTAATTCAATCAATGCAAACTTCAGTTAAACAGAACATAGCAAAGTAGCTCTTCAGATAAAGTTGCTAAATTAACAACTGATTAAACTGCTCATTTTGGTGACTTCAATGTAAGAAAGAACCTTGCTGAAGAGTCAGACCAAGCTATAAAACAGAGAAAAGACAAGACAAAGCTGCCCACAAAGAGTCTTTTCAAAACAAAAATATTATTCGTAACAGTATTATTCACAGAGGGGGGAAAACTGTTCCACTTGAAATATTTATAAAGCTGTGAGTACAGCCTAGAAAGAAAAAAATCATTGAAATAAGAGAACATAAGTCAGCAGCATTCTTCCAAAGAATCACAAGGGATCTGTAACAACCTTCAGTGTCTTACACAGGACACTCAGCCCAGCACACACATGATAATGGGTCCACCCCAGCTTCAAACAACCCATCATTAAGAGTGTACCTAACTCAGCTCTTAGAAAGATAAAATGGTCTTTAATTATACAAGTGTCTCCTCATCATCCCATCCCCCGGTGCCTGGCTTCATTCCCTGTTTGAAGAGAGAGTTCTGTAGTCAAGAAAGACGATCTTCTTAGTGAAGACTTTCTTAATCTGGTTTAATAAACAAAACCATTGCCTTGTTTACAGAAGAAATTATTCTGGGTGTATTTTTAATGGTGACAGAATTTTCCAGTTTTCCCTTCCTATTTTAAAACAGCTGAGTGTTACAGAAAGTTAACCAAAGGAAAACACATTCTTATGATGCACATACTGCACTAGAGAATTCCCACAGTCAGAGACGCAAGAGAACAGGCAATTTGAGAAGACACAGTTCAGATGTATAACAACAATCCCTTCCAGTTTATTTATGTCAATACAACAGTGGGCATCTTGATTTAAGCCCATCAACCCAAATGACAGAGGTCATGGTGCCCTTAGGTCAATGTCAATCAAGATTAAGCAAAACGGAGGACAAAGCTGAAACTCAACTATTCAGTTCCCCCCTCCTTCTAAAAAGCCTACAGTGACCTCCTCAACGGAAGGAGCAAGGAGCACAGCCTGATGATCACAGTGTTAGCTGGTCAATTTTCTGAAAGTAAGCAAGCAAGCAATGGGATGCATGTTGCAAAAGACTGATGGGCACTTTTTAGTAAGAATCTAAGCTAGCTTCTGTGGTTCCATTTCCTACCTCTCCCAAAGCAGAGCTACAATTACAGAATTAGACATGACTGCCTCTGTTATAGTATTAAGAGACCTCAGAGATCAGCCTGTATTTCCTACTGAGAGACAGATTTGCCTCAGCTCCCATCAATCCACTAGAAAGACTAATTTGGATATATGATCAATTAGCTATATAAGACCTGAGGCTAATATTTTCTTCCCTTGGTGGAAGTGGGGAACCCACATCCTTGTCACAGCTGCATCTTTATTCTGGTACAGTGTGGTAGTATCTGGTATGAGCCACTATCTCAGAGCCTTTGTTTATCTTCCAACTTACATATGCTATTGATGCAGCTATGCCACAGAATAAAATAACCCCACAGGAACCTCCAGCTGTTGGACTGGGGAATCAAACGACCACACTGTGATCACTTTTTTCCCCATAATGCTTATTATTCCTTTTGCTTTATTCCTTAAAAATTAGGTTGTTAATAACATAATGCAGTAGGCTTTTCCATCTGTCCTATATATTTTGTAAAGCACCTTTGACTACTACTAAAGCAAAGAGTTAATAATATTTAACTAAAAAGTGGTTACTACTAAATTAAATACTACTCATCTTAAAACAATCTTGAACTGTCACAAGACTAGGTAACTTCTTGCAACTGTAATTAACTGACAGCCTGAAAATGTCAGCTCACTCAGACCTCAAATTCCTAAGCCTTGTGTTGTGGGGGAGGAAGTGAGCTTGAAAAGGTGCCTTAAGCAGACCTTGAAATTTAAAGCGACAGCAGAAAAAGAACATAAAAACCTAATAAAAATTTTAAAAGAAACATTGGGATTTTTAAGATGTAGTCAGTATTTTGTGGGTTTGCTTGTGATCACCACCTGCAGCACTGCTTCCTTTTGGTCAGGATGTAGCACATGACTGGTGAAACAACTATGCAGTAAAAAGACAACTGAAGAAGGAGTTTTCTCACGTCATCATCTTTTTCAGGTTAAGCTGTCAAAACATGAGCATATTATGGCACATATTTCTTCTGCCAAATCTAACTACTACTCATCATTCAGTCTTCTAGTTCAGTTCTTCCTCTATGTGTGTGCATGGTTCACTGATTCTACAGCACTGCTGTAGAGTTTTAAAGGTACTGAAGTGGTTGACTCAGTCTACTACCTTCCCTCACATGCACCTGAAATTCTCATGGTTTGCAATACTCTTTCTGATTTAATTAAGAAACAGACGTCCTCGGAAATATTGTTTAAATAAGATACATTGGGTTATCCTAGCAAAGTGGCTCAGAATTAAAACTGCATTTCTAACTCTCCAACAACAGACTTGGTTTTGAAGTTGTAAGTCTAAATCATCTTAACTGGAGAAGATTCTTGCT